AGAGCGGCGCTCATATCTTTTTCAGTAAAAGAAGGCATTCTGAATTGATTGGCGTTAGTTTGAAATTAATTGGAATTAAATTGGTAGAGTTGTGACTGTTTAAAGTATATATAAATTGGGTGGCTGGGTTAAAAGTGAGGTGGCCGGTCTGTGGGGGTGGCCAGTCTTTGGGTGACGGACGTTATGGCGAGTCATAGAGACGCAGCTAGCTGTGTCATTAATATCACGTGCCCTTCCGGACACAGCTAGCTGTGTCTCTAAGATATCGTTATGTAAGCATGATCTATATAAGTGAGTATGTGTTGTGAGGCTATTCACAACTGATTTATTGTATTTCTGGCTATATAATGCATCTCGTGATAGATACAATATGACTCACGCTTCCTCTCGTGCAGCGGATAACATACCATCACTGGTATCAACACAATGAATCAGAACACGCTTCCAGGTATATAACCCGAGTGTTCTTCGGCCATTGTAGTAGCTATTCCTCTCGTATCAAGCATCTACAACACCCAAATAGCATAAACAGTCATCATAAACCCCAACAACCGCCGTCATCAGAACCCTCCTCCCTTCGTTGTTCGAACTGATGATTTAGTAACGCCTGTAACTTCTGCTCCTCCCGTGAACTATATTCTTCAGTCTATCCCCAGCAATAGTCAACCTATCCCTCAACGGCCGGCTCCTATGAATCCTCGCAACGATCCCCTCAACCTCCAGATGGACTTCTGGCTTACGCACACAAGGCCCGGTGATGCCACTAGCGATGCTGCTTTGCGGCAACAGAATCCTCAAGCTCTTATTGCTGCACAGAACACTTCATACCCTCCACCGGGGCAGCCGGTTAATGTGATCCAACGGCCGTACGGGTATCAAGTTGAGGGAGAGTGGCATATTGGTTACTGGTACGATCGACTTCAGCACCGTGCTAGAGAGCAACCACAAGCAGATCTTGGGCCTCAATGGAACCATAATATGCTTATTAACTACGATCAGCACTATCGTAGCCAGCAGCTTGCAGTCCCTGGAGTCAATTGGCCTACCCCAGCAGTAGGTATGACTACCTATCAGCCTGTTATTCAGGCTCTTTAAAACACAGGGATATCTGTTGTTCATGTAGATCAATGCGGAAATACACAGTGGGTTTGGCAAGGAAGGCATTGAGTCGGGGGCATAGTACAGTTTTTTGTGATTTTGCTTGGTCAATAGTATAAAAAAATTCACACCTAGTGCAGAAATTATTGTAACTCAAGGAAAATCCTACAAATCAACCTCGTGATATAATACATGTAGTACTCTGAAATAGCCCTTTTTCTAAGCTTTCGAATGGTATATATAATATATCTATTGACCGACTGTAACCCAATTTAGATACGGCGGTTCCGAGTTCGGTGTACCCGTTGCTGATCCTCATGATCCCGGGCTGCCGCCTTCCACACATGATCGGGTCCACGATAAGTCGTAAATCGCCGTGCCTTTAGCTCCTCTTCAACCTGCTTGTTCACCCGTTCATTCTCAGCTTCATCAAAGTCAAGATAGGCCATCATTTCCTCCTTGGTCCAGTCTCGAACACTTCTTCCTATCCTACATTGAGGGCCCATTTCCTTGTAATCGAGGCACCAGTTGTATTTAGCCTTGGTATAACGCCGGGGCAGCTTCATAGCCTTACGGTACTGTTGGTTGGTCTTCAATGCCCCCCGAGGCTGTGTGGCATACCACGCCTCTCGATCTGCTTTGTAGCGTCGATAGATAGCACGAGCATCGTCATAATCCAATTCATTAGCCTCACTTTGTGCAGTAGCTGTTGAAGGTCCGGCCACTGGGGAAGTTGTAGTTACGGTTATTGTCTTGGTCGTTGTCTCCGTTATAGTCTCTGTTGCTGTGTGTGTTCCAGAGCTAGCTGGGGATAACGAGCGTGTTGTTGATCTCGATACTGTATGTGTTACAGTATGAACAGTTGTAGAAGTCTGAGTGGGAGCTACAGTTGCAGAGGCTTGAGTGGGAGCTACAGTTATCGAGGCCTGAGTCGGAGCCTGTGAGATATGCTCCCAGCGTAAGGGGCATGCTTTTGACTTCATTTTATGACCTGACTGATGACACTTTGAGCATGTTGGTGGTGCCCTAGGTCGTATCGTATTCTCAACTGCCTCAAATGCACAAGGCTCTCGTTGTGTGCTTGTCACGGGTAACACCGATGTGGCCTGAAGTCGGTCTATCTGTACAGGAGGCTCTATGAGAAGTTGAGGGTTTCCAATGCGCTGAATTCGCCAATGCGAGTGGAAATGATACATTTGTAATGGTTGACTTCGGTATAACAAGGGCTCGATTAAATGAGCACACGGCAGACCAAGGGTGCGGTTGAAAGTGCCTGTACAAGCCGGGAGTTGATGTAACAACCGAGCTCGTTGGTCGTCAACTAGCCGAAGAGCCTCGTGTGATATCCAATCACGGATGTTGCCGTATAATGACCCGGATAGCTTCAAAGGGAAGCTAGCTTGTTGTCTTGCTTGGTTACTCTCAAGCTCGGCCACCTGATTCGTTACAACTAGCTTGATGTGTCTCCAGGCGTCAAACAGGTTAAGCTGGGAGGTCTTGAGATATGACTTGATGAGTTGATGAATACCCTCACATCGTGATGTGACATATTGGTTGAAATGAAGGTGTTGATCAACCCAAGCCTTAACGAATTTCTCCTTATGGAGATCTAGCCAGGTCTCAGTAATATAGCCGACCTGACTTACGTGGTCAGGGATATACTTCTTCTTGAAGTCACTAAGCTTCTGATAGTATATATCCTCATTACTAGATGCAACGAGATCATGCCAAGAAGAGTAGAAGTCCTTCCACTTCTCTTGTCCTTCATGATCCTTTGCATCCTTGGTAAATGCATCCATGCAGTGACGCAATACCGCCTTGTTGATATGCCACAAGCAAAGTAACGAGGTTGAATCTGGAAAGGTAGAAGCTACAGCATTCATACAAGCAAGGCATCGGTCTGTAAGTATCACGGAAGGGAAATCTGCACATATAGCTACGTAGATAGACCGTAGCTGTGCAAGAGCCCAGTTGTAGTCCTCTTCTTCCTCGCCACTGAGGAATGCAAATGCAATACAGAAAGACCGTTGGCAAGCATCAACACCAATGGCATTGAGGAGTGGCATCTTGTACTTGTTGGTCTTGTATGTGCAGTCTAGAATAAGCACTTCCGTATATGATTTGAGGTAGGCAAGTGACTTTGGGTGTGCAAATAACACTGCCGTGACTGTACCCTCTTCGAGACGTATACGACTCCAGAAGCCCTCACTTTCGAGCTGATTTGCAAGGGCATGTATGTTGCTTTGACCCTTCAGAAGCTCTCGCTTGCTTTCAGCAATACAATTGTAGATATCCTGTTGTGTAGCAAGTGTTGTTGATGTATTCCGTAGATGTGATATAATATCCTTAGGTGCAGAGCCACAACTGGTAAGTTGCTTGACTATCTGCCTATCTGCCGCTGAGAGTATCCGATGGGTAGGGTGTGCCAAAGGGTTGCTTGGCTCATGGTTGTGTTTATGATGCTTCTGATTAGAACGATGTGATAGAGACCACGAAGTCTTGTTAGGTCCTTCCTTTGCTATGACGGAAAAGAGGCAGCCCGTATGGCGAGATACAGTATTTCTGTCCCGTTTCCTTGTTGTTGAAGGGGGCTTTGAGCCTCGATCACAGTTGTAGATAACCCCCTTCCTTCCACTTGAAGTATTCCATGAATTCTTGACTGAAAACGCGTAGCCTCTTTCTCGGGCCCACGCGTTGATGGCGGTGAGAAGAGCCTGCTGCGAGGGGAAGTGACCTTCCGGTGGAAGAACATCATCAGGGAATAAATTTTTAGCATCAATTGGGTTCATTTTAGATAGGTAATACGGTAATAGCTTCAATTGGCTTCAATTGTGATGTCAATCGTTAAATTGGAAGGTCTGAGTTGAAAACGCGTCTGCACGGTCCCATACATACATAGCGCTTACATAACGATATCTTAGAGACACAGCTAACTGTGTCCGGAATGGCACGTGATATTAATGACACAGCTAGCTGTGTCTCTATGGGCCGCCATTTCCTGAGGCCGTGAAGATCATGCCTACCCTGCGATAGTTACATATATCCGAGAGGAGTACAACTCCTTACATGGTATCCACATCCAGTCACCACCTTAGTCACACGGTAATTGGTATAGTAGGGTTCCTTAGGCCTGAATCTTTACTTGCCGTGGCTGGTTATGTAAGCGGCAAATCGTCATTCCCCGAGCGTCCCATACAAGAACTAAATGGTACCCTAAACCACAGAAACGACACTAACCCTTGAGGCGGCACAACTCTCTCCTGTAAAAATTTTTCCTTGGCACCCGCTGTTAGCGCTCTGCTAGGCGAGAGAATTTTTACAGGCCAAAATAGCAACAAAAGCAACTATAGGACTAGCGGGACCCTAACAGCTGCCAGAAGAAAGGGATTCAGAGAGTTAACCTTTCTTCATGACAAGTGTCTTCAACGGCACTAAGCTTCGCGAGCTCTTAACATTGCCTCCAGGCACCATTTCATTTATCTTTATCTGCGACTTCTTCTCACCTCGACATTTCGGCTTCGCAAGCCTGCGACATTCTGGCCTCTGTGCCCCTCGACTTCCCGTATGACCGACTTCTGCAGCCTCGGCTACCCAGACGACATTCGCAGCATCTTGCTGCTTAATATCAAGGGTCATCATGCCCTCACCCTCACTCTCACCTTCGCCTGCAGTTTAACGCTGCCTCGACCAACTACAGCAGCTTTAGCTGCCCGAACAACACAAACAGCCTTCAGCTGCTCGACTTTCTAGGCCCTCTGGTGCCCTCGACCTTGACGCACGGACCCCACATGGTTCATTGCCCTTTTTGCAGCTCGGAAGCTGCTTAACCGATCTCTGCAGTCATATACTGCCTAGAGACTCTCCTCTTTCTTTCTGCAGCCTCGGCTGCTGCCTAGAACATAACCAGGCCTCGACGATATGTCTTACTGGATAAGACCACTAGATATAAACCGCTAGGTCAAAACGATACAGAGCTTTACCTGGAGACCATAGATCAGGGCAATTACCTCATCTACAGAGCAGCGTTCTGGCCGCCTTGGGTTTTTCCCCTTCGAGGGGTTTTCCCAAGGATGCACGGTCCTAGGGTTACAGCTACTGGCGATCTTAGGGATTATGGTTCTCCTGCCCTTAGGCATAGAAAGCTACTTGATCTATCTGTGCAAGAGAATTCTAGGCTGGAGAGGAATAGTTCCCGCTAACGGGATAACCTCTTGGAAGTAAAGCGCCTCTATGCCGATGATATGCTGGATAAACTAGATAGAAGCATTGCTAGAGGGAAGCTCTGCTAAGATCAACTGTATTAATGTCCATAGGATATGCTTCACCAATAACTACTATAGAGCTGGCTACGAGTAGAGAGGTGCCTCTTGGGGGGATAAGTACAGAAAACGCTCAAGCATATATACGGCTCCGACGCAAGAGGCCTTGCAGATAATCCAAGCAAGCATCAGCACGGCAGCGATTATAGATAGTTTAGCTCAGCACATCCTGTGCTCCATTAGGAGACTTTTTAGGGCCTACGGCCCCCCGGACGAAAAATATACATACATACATACATACATACATACATACCCTTGAGGCGGCACAAGCCTCCAAGGCGGTCACGACGAGGGGTCCAGACCAGTCAAGTCTCTCGTTGGCATAAATCGTGCTACTACAGAAAAGTGACTCCGAATTTGAGTCTATTGTGACTATTGAATTTGGTAACATTCATGTAGGTGGGGGTAGGCTACAAAGAGGCACTCATCAGCGAAGCAGGTTAGATCCCCAATCTTATATCCTGTATCAAAATATATCAAATGTTATTTCAAATCCGGTATTTTGCATTTGTTTGATTTGAAATAAGATTTTGGCATATTTGATTGATTTGTTTGGCAGTTTGTTTGATTGGTTTTGATTTATGGGCAGCGCTGCGATGCGGTCCTACAAGCGCCGGAGAAGGTCCTTTCTGGCTTTGCCGACTGGGGGCTTATCGAGAGCATATCGATGGCCATACGGCTAAGGCGTGGAAACTGCCGTCATTGTTCAATGCGACACCACCACTCCAGAGGTTTGCAATCGATCTTGGTAGCTGGAGAATTAATAAATGCCTCTAGGTTATCGCCATCGATTGAAAGAGCCGTCTCGACCTCCATCTCCTGTAGCCATAGCTGTAGCTGCGAAGGCGGCTTCCCCAGCGCAGTTGGGATATCCTCCGGAGTAGTTTTTATGTCTCAATCGATATTGGTATTGTATTCCCCCTCCCATATTTGCCGGGCCCCCACAATCGCTGGATTAATCCACGCACTCTTCCAGTTCTTATCCAAGTATGCTTTTCGACAGCGTGGATCGAGAAGAAGAGCGGCGACGTAAACGGGAGCCTCATCAAACATAGTGTAGTATTTATTGAGTACAAACCATCCCATGTCGATAGAATGGAGCATAAGGCTATCATGGAACTCCGGGTTCGAGTAGTGTATTTAACAAGTTAGTTAAAGGCTGTCTCTTTAACGGAAATAGACCTTGCCTTCGCTTTCTCAAAGTGGCTGAGAAGACCATCCATCATCCGCAGCGTACTACAGAGGCTCGCTTTATCGCCTTCTGTTATCAAAGTTGCCTCGGTAAAGGGCTGGAGGAAAGTATGCGTTTTCGACAGTATATCCCAGTCGGCGCCTGATAGAAGATGAGCACAGCCGATATCCTTGTCATGGTCTACCATAAACTGGACGATCTGTGCCTTCTTATTGAAGGCGACACTGATAACTTTATACCATGAATACCACCGTGTTGTGTTATCGATCCCGATACTGCGACCCACAGCTTCTCGCCAGTTATCACTATGGATTGGAGAGCTTCCAATCCAGACTGCGAGATGGTGGAGCTTCTGGAGAGCATTAATGCCTTCCCACCCGCTAAATTCTAATTGCCGAATAGTCCTCTCTCTCGTCGGAGGTCTCTGCTGTCTCCCCTGCTTCTCCTCTGTTGTGTGACCCACCGTGGTATCGGGTCCTGAAGGCGTATTCTCATTTAGAGAAGTAGAGAAGGTTTCGATAGGCTGCGCACCAGCGGCGTTGCCGGCGGCATTAAGTGCAGCACCTAAAGCTTCTTTCGAGCGCACGAGAAGGAAAGCTTGAAGGGAAAGGTTAATAATATGGCCGTAACAGCGGACACGGCGGCGGACAGGATTGAAGATTATCTAGACGAAACTCAGCTGGCACAGCCATAGAAACTTATCTTTACTTACTCCTCGCCCGTGGAGTAGCTTGTTTGATAAAGCTTCTAGGCAGGTATTGTTCGAGGATGCGTTATCCCAAGTATGATAACCCACGCGTCGAATTTCGAATCGCCCCAAGACATCAGCGATCAGGCCGGCCTGGGACTCGTCAGAGTAGTCTTTTCGACACTCTAGCGGACCTAAAAGCGCCTTTCGAAGTTTATAGCCCTTGTCGACCCATGGCATACTGCAAGCATACCATGCCGGTGTGGTGATGTCCAGAGATCAGATGAGAGGTGAATCATCGAAATGGCAGATTGAAGGGACTCGGCCAACTGAGCAGCGTAGAACTCATAGCTAGCTGAGATGTAGCGCATCACTGTACGTCGGGAGGTAATCAGACTATCCTCGATGGCAGGATTACATGCTAGTGCTAGGTCCTTTAGCTCATCCCACTCAACCATTGAAAAGGCCACTCTGCGACGTGTGAGAAGGCTGATAAGAGCTTTGATGTAAGCCTGCCGATTGAAGGCATTCCATAATGCCGCTTCGGATGGCGTAGTCGATGATGTGATATATACGTCGAGCGATTGCTGAGATTGGTTCTGCCGGCTAGAGAGCCCGATCAGATATGGATGATTATTCCTTATGTGGCGCCGCGCATTGCCTTTATAACCATCCTTCCATGGCTTCGCCGTACAGTATAAGCAGACATATGAAGTGCGAGGCTTCGTCTTCTCTCTGGTGAAAAATCTCTCAATATCGATGAAGTCAGGGGCGGAAGAGGGTGTCCTCGATATGGACGAAGCTTCGGATGCCATGGCGATGGCTTTATGGTATAGATAATGGATCGAGGCGATGAAGAGTCTGCCGATAAATCGGACTAGAAACTGCAGTAGCTACTCGGAAGACTTTTTTTTATTTTATTTTTTTACCTTATGATTCTTGTCAATTTCTGATGGATCTGGATCGTAGGATTGGTGAGGTTTGAGGGTAACGAGATTTAATGTTGTGGGCCCTATGAGGCGTATCCTCCCAGGCGGAATAAATTCATTCATTCATTGATGATAAGCTTATGTCAGACAAGCATGTGTCACAAAAATCCCTCATTCTCCTCTCTTTACATTTGGTCAATTGATTCCCAACCATTAAAGATGTCCCAGTCAAACGATGAAGCAAAAATTCTTCTTGCCCTGCGAGCCCTTCAAAATGATCCAAAATTAAGTATCGGACGCGCCGCATCAATATGCCAAGTCTGTCATCAGGTCGCCGCCAGCGAGGCATGCAGTCTCGACGCATTTAGGTCCCTAAATCACGCAAACTATCTGATCTAGAGGAACAGATCATAGTTCAGTTCCTCCTCGACCTGGATTCGCGAGGATTTCCCCCGCGACTGCGTGGTGTGGAAGAAATGGCCAACCGATTGCTCGCTGACTGCGACGCGCCACCCGTCGGCAAGCGCTGGGCTTCTAACTTCATCAAGCGACACAAAGAGCTCAAGACGCGGTTTTTTTTCGCAGGTATGACTACCAGAGGGCTAAATGCGAAGACCCAACCGAGATTCGAAAGTGGTTTAAGCTTGTGGAAAACACAATCGCGAAATATGGAATCGACCTGGCTGATGATATCTATAACTTTGATGAGGTTGGCTTTCTAATGGGCATGCTTGCAAGCGGAATGGTCGTTATAGGCTCAGAAAGGCGTTCAAAGCCAAAATCAGTGCAGCCTGGAAACCGTGAATGGATTACTGTGATCCAGGCGATCAATGCGGAAGGCTGGGCGATCGCGCTGTCCATCATAGGTGCCGGCCAATATCACCTCGCCAACTGGTACCGGGAAAGTAACCTCCCGGACAACTGGGCTATTGCAACATCTCCAAATGGCTGGACCGATAACGACCTAGGCCTTGAGTGGCTGAAGCACTTTGACCGATGTACAGACACGGGATCAGTTAGTCGCTATCGTCTTCTGATCCTTGACGGCCACGGAAGTCACCACTCTCTCGACTTTGAGAAATATTGTCAGGCAAACAAGATTGTTACGCTCTGTATGCCGCCTCATTCATCTCATCTACTTCAGCCTCTCGATGTTGGGTGCTTTAGCCTGCTCAAGAAGGCTTACGGGTAAGAAATTGAGCATCTGATCCGATGCTCTATAACCCACGATTCTAAGACCGAGTTTTTTCCCGCCTTTTATGCAGCGTTTCAGGTCACAATGACTGGGAAAAATATCAAGACAGCTTTTAGAGGCGCTGGGCTTATTCCTCATGACCCGGAAAGCGTGGTATCGAAGCTTGATGCGCAGCTACGGACTCCAACGCTGGTTGAGGAGGAGGCCGGCCCCTCTACCGCTTGGGTTTCAAAGACACCCAGGACTCTCCTTAAGGCTCAATCTCAGTCTGAATACCTCGACAGACGAATTAGAAGCCATAAAAGTAGCTCACCAGAGTCAATTCTGGAAGCATTCAAGTCGCTTTCTAAGGGAACAAAGGCAATGATGCATGAGAACGCCTTATTGAGAGCTCAGGTCCGTGATCTTCAACAGGCAAATGAAACACTAAGCCGGCGTCGAAGGGCAAAAAGGACCAGACTACAGAAAGGAGGGGTGATTATAGTATGGGAAGCAAGGGAAGTAATTGATTAGATGAATATAGATGGGCAGGTCGAGGGCGAATTGTCGAGAAGTGGTGGTCAAGGAGGGTCGGCACGACCGAGGGGAAGGTGCTGTGGAGGATGCGGCAAGACGGGGCATAACGCAAGGACATGTCAGATAGTTGTTGCAATATCTGATGAAGAATACGGCAATTTAGTTTAATTGATGAGAGAGTTTGTTGTGCCTTTCTGGTGATTTCCATTTTGAAAGTTGAGTTTTTTTGTGACACATGCTTCTCTGTAATATAAGCATATCCATGTACGTTAATATATTGTCAAGCTCCAGAGACCTTCGCTTTCTGTTGGAGGCAAGGATAACGATGAGAGTGAACGATCAGTAATAGGTTGGCATATACCCCTCCAGGCGATATAAAACTAAACTAAACTATGGGCTCCCGTCGAAAAGAACTACCCGTTAGTGTAGACTCTTCACGCTCTTTACTGAGGGAAGGGCTAGAAGTCGCGGTTCTGCGTTTACACGAAATGGACGCGCCCGAGATCGTCGTGTCGGGCGAATCATAGAACTATCGAGTTGCCCGTCTCGCTCCATGATATGCAGGTTCTGGGTGAAGGTACCACCAGACCGTAGTTGTCGATGGACCTATATTCTCTGTACTATGAAGGTAGCGCAGCGTTCGCAGCAGAGTTTTCAATGCTCAAGATATCCTCGTTCTCTACTAATAGAATTATTATCCATCCAAATTGAAAGCAATTTTCGAGTATACCTTCTGGTGAGCACAACAAAGTGGCTATCAAGTCCTTCATATCCCCCAATAAAGAAACCAAGTCTTCTTCGAGTAATCTAATACGTAGATATAACTCATTTACAGGCGGTGCAGTATTCTGCCAGTTCTTGAGTTGTTCGACGTCTCGCTCCAACTGCTCCATGCGCCGTCCAAGGCCAGCTCGAGATACCCTTTGGGCCTCTCGATCTTTGACCCGTCTTTGCGCAAGCCGCGAATTGTTTATTCCTGATACATATCGCTTTTCTGTGTCTAGTCCTGCGTCAGTGGATTTAGTTGCAGACGAGGCCTATCACTATAACGTACCATGGGAAGTCTGGTGAGGCCCAACCGGTGAGTGAGACATTTGAACGGCTGATTCTTGGAAAGCGGTATTCGGTATGGATCCTTCAGTGAGGAATACTTGGTGGACGCGGCCTGGGCTGTTTTCACGAGAGAGGCGATATATCTCTCTGGTCTGAACCCTGCCAAGACAACCAAGACCGCTAGATCGAACAGATGACAATGTAGGGCCGAGAGCCGAGAATTACACTTCAGCATGGGTTGTGTGTTGAAAGGCGCAGATATTGTAACGCGGCAATTAAGCTTGGCGTATTCCTGCTCGACAAGGATCAAATTTCGCCAACGAAGGGGGAAGATGTCTCACATTGAACCATCATGCTTGTTGCGTATCGGAATGACCGACAACGTGCCCTCCAATGATCCACGTAGTCCGGACCATTGTCCACAGGTAGAAGAGCGTCCTCAATTGCCTTAGTGCTTCCCGTTAACTAGTTTTTTTTTTTATTTTTATTTTTATTTTTAGCAGGCCAGCAGGGATTCCCACAATCCTTTGTCAGCCCCAATTACTTGCACCACCCCGGAGCTTCGGGTTCCAAAGCAGAGTCATATAAGGGCTAATTTGGAGAGACCAGGGACGCGTATGCTCTTCTACGGACTGTCTGCACACGTTGTGTTGATTGTTGCACCGCTGCATTGATGGAAAATATCGGCCCGGTAGCAAGCAGAGTTTCGGCTTTGTTCTCGAAGGATTTAGAGTTTAGAGGATATGCGTAGTATTATTAAACGACTCCATAATGAGAATACAAGGTGATTTCATGCCAGTGTGTGACTGTGTGGCCACGTATTTCTATCCAATGATTGCTTGGCCAGCACTGAAAACTTACAGCCGGTTCTTCGCCTACAAGTGCGCCGTTGTCGTGTGATAGATGTGCTCGGCGGGAGTATATTTCGATCACAGGCAAATATGACTTTGATTCGGCAACTTGACGTCTTTAATGATTTCCCTGTCGTGAATGCATAGCCTCGAGGTTTCATCCAGGAATTAATGGCTGCCAACAGAGACTCACGGCATTCGTATATGCCTTCAGAGACATCACTAGTTAGCTGCAAAAGCAGGAAAAAGAGGCCTCTAATTAGCTCAAATTGATTCAAGCAACCCCCAGCTAGCTGCTCCACTGACAAAAATTCAGAGGTTCAGGGTTCAGGTGTAGAAGGAGGTTTTGTGGCGCATCGGGCCTGTCCGTTGCCGCTTAGAACGCGTGACCTTTTAGGAAGCGAACGGCCCCACTATTAACCGCAGGATCCGCCTCTTACTTCGTGCTCCATTGTTTAAGGTTTGTCGGTGTTAGAACCCCAGTTGATTTGCCCGGCCCGCTCGATCGACCCTCTCGGAAGCGGCAATCCATCTCACCCATAACCGCTTACAGCACTTTGACAAAAGCGACTAGGATCCCTGGAAAGAGTCCCGGAAAGAACCGTCTCAGTATACCACAGTAATAGGGTTAGCGCTAACGGTTAAACGCTATTGCCCCTGAACCCTGACCAACGGTGCTGTCTTGTGACTCGACTGGAAGGAACGTTACGAAATGCCGGACCGAGAGATCTAGAACCTCCTTACTTCGAAGGTTTTAAGTTCGTTGCACAAATGAGCAAAGCAAAAGCTATACGAATCAAAGCATAAACATTTAATGTTGACGACTGAGCATGACAAAGGTAGGCCGAACTTATTGTTAGACATTGCAAATTAAAGACACAAAAATCATCTGCATTCAAAATACGGGGTCGCATAGCAGAAGAGGCCACTTAATTTATCTCACCTTACTGCTATAATCAGGAAATTAAGAAGAGCCTGAGGTAACACGGCACCCGAAATCTTTATTTGCTTTACCTAGGTCTCGTGTCAGGACCTTTATGTTGAGACAGTATGGCTAAGGTGGTCCGATCTGCTGGTGGCTAGGATGTGGATACTATGTAAGGAGCTGTGCTCCTCTTAGACATATGTAACTTAGAACTAATAATAACAATAATCAACCCTTTTACTTCAACACTTTACTCCGGCCCGCGCTCACGGCATTGATCGTTTACCTAGCTAATCTGTTTCACAATATTCCCATTGGTTGACGTATAAAGGCGAGAGAGTGGGTAGTCGGATCATATGTGGGATATTACCTCTTGGCACGGCGATTATTTCTGCCAATTTATCTTAAATAAGAACAAGTCCTAAGATTATTAAGCTTCCACTGGAAATTAATAAGAAAACAACCTGTATAAGTTTGATTCCTTAAAGGCAATATGGTAAACTTAAAACTATATGGTTTCATTCTCCAAAGTTTATATTAAGCTACCACCTTCTAAGTATAGACAGTCTCACGTAAACCAATAGCACAACTGTGATTTACTATGTATCTCTGTTGGCAGTTAGTGCGTGTGATTTATTGGCATTACCGCTTATCAAGGTCTCTAGCACAAAAGATTTCTCCGTCTCCGCAGTCACTCATGGACGAGACAACTAATTTCAGTATTGTCGCCGCCTATCACTATCTGAGAAACAATCAAGAGGGGACAGTGACGTTGTTGTGGTTACCTTGCTTAGTAGAGGCAAAAAAGGCTGGCATCCTTGTGATTTATGGTGATACTGCAGCTGTAAACCCTGACCATGCTGCTTGCCCCATGCTCATCCTAAGATGCACTGTAACTGAGCCAAGATTGCTAATCCGAGCGTTTGACCTGTTGCATAAGGCTCTATACCACTGACACTGCCGACTTGGCGCTGTAGCAGCCCCTGTAGATCGTCACTGTGGCCTTTTTTTGCCTCTGCCTACAAAACCAGACATAAATCCTCCCATTTTCTAGCCTGTTTGTTCATCCCCAAGCAAGACCACAGCACATTCCGCCATGCACGTTCAATCACTTCTGCTGGCTTCTGGCCTCGTGCCTCTCGCCGCTAGCCAGGACTGCCCTTTCGCCAAGCGCGCCACAGACAATAACCTTGTTCCCCTGCGAGAAATCCCCGAGGATTTTGGTATCTGCCGCGTCGCTAGCAACCAGGCTGGTGGAGGTACCCGAAGCAGAGACTTTTGGCCTTGCGCTTTGAGATTAGATGTCCTTCGACAGTTTTCGCCTCAGTATAACCCGTTGGGTGCAGATTTTGACTACACTGAGGCATTCAAGTCTCTTGACTGTGAGTTTCATTCATTTCGGGATTAGAGGAGGTTGTCTAATTGACTGTGCAGATGAGAGCTTGAAGAAGGATCTCAAGGCGCTTCTCACTGATTCTCAGGATTGGTGGCCTGCTGACCATGGTAGCTATGGTGGTCTCTTCATCCGTATGTCATGGCACAGCGCTGGTACGTACCGCGCTATGGATGGCCGAGGTGGCGCTGGAATGGTGAGTGCAGAATCTGACAGTTCTGACTGGGATATTGTTGAGTCATTCACTGACCATTACAGGGCCAACAACGATTTGCTCCTCTCGACAGCTGGCCCGACAACCAGAACCTGGACAAGGCTCGCCGTCTGCTCTGTACGTTTCACAACAGTCACACAAACAACCAATTCTAACGAATTACAGGGCCCATCAAGCAAAAGTATGGCAGCAAGATTTCATGGGCTGACCTGATCGTTCTCGCCGGCAACGTCGCCCTCGAACACAGTGGTTTCGAGACCCTTGGTTTCGCCGGTGGCCGAGCCGACACCTGGGAGGCCGATGAGTCTATCTACTGGGGTGCCGAGTCTACCTTTGTCCCCAAGGGTAACGATGTTCGCTATAACGGCAGCACTGACATTTATGAGCGCGCTGATAAGCTTGAGAAGCCTCTTGGTGCTACCCACTTCGGTCTCATTTATGTTAACCCTGAGGGTCCTGATGGAAGCTCTGACCCCAAGGCTTCTGCTCTTGATATTCGTACTGCTTTCGGTCGTATGGGTATGGATGATGAGGAGACTGCTGCTCTCATCATTGGTGGTCACACCCTGGGCAAGACTCACGGTGCTGTTTCTTCTAGTAAGTGTCTTATCAGTCGAACAGTTTTGAGGCTATGCTGACTGCGATTCTCAGAGAGCATTGGCCCTGAACCCATGGCTGCTGACCTTGGAGAGATGGGTCTTGGCTGGCACAACAGTGTCAACGAGGGTAACGGTCCTGACCAGATGACCAGTGGACTTGAGGTTATCTGGTCCACGACTCCCACCAAGTACGTTCTCTTACTACTCTTCAACCCAACTAACAAATCTCAGGTGGAGCAACCACTTCCTCAAGAGTCTGCTTGGCAACAACTGGACCCTCGTCGAGAGTCCTGCAGGCCACAAGCAGTGGGAAGCCGTCGACGGCAAACTCGAATACCCCGATCCCTTCGTCAAGGGCAAGTTCCGTAGGCCCACCATGCTCACCAGCGATCTCGCCCTCATCAACGACCCCGCCTACCTCAAGATCTGCAAGCGCTGGCACGACCACCCCAAGGAGATGAACCAGGCTTTCGCTCGTGCCTGGTACAAGCTTCTTCACCGTGATCTCGGCCCCATTGCTCGCTACCTTGGACCTGAGGTTCCTAAGGCGAAGTTCATCTGGCAGGATCCTCTCCCTAAGCGAAAGGGAGACATCATCAGCGAGGATGATATCCCTAGCCTTAAGTTTACTATTCTTGCTACTGATGGTCTTACTGTTTCTAAGCTTGTTTCTACGGCTTGGAACTCTGCTTCTACTTTCCGTGGAACTGACAAGCGTGGTGGTGCCAACGGTGCTCGTATTGCCCTTGAGCCTCAGGTCAGCTGGGCCAGCAACAACCCCGAGCAGCTGAAACAGGTTCTCTCCGCACTGAAGAAGGTCCAGAAGGACTTCAACTCCAAGTCCGGCTCTAAGCAGGTCTCTCTCGCTGATCTGATCGTCCTCGGTGGTGTTGCTGCTATTGAGAAGGCTGCCCAGGATGCTGGCTTCAAGGACGTCGAGGTTCCTTTCACTCCTGGTCGTGTTGATGCTACACAGAACCAGACTGACTTTGTTCAGTTCGGTTACCTTGAGCCTCTTGCTGATGGTTTCCGTAACTACGGACATGGAAGTGCCCGTGCTCGCACCGAGGAGATCCTCGTTGACCGCGCTGCTCTTCTTACCCTCACTCCCCCTGAGATGACCGTGCTCGTTGGTGGCCTCCGCGCCCTCAACGCCAACTACGACGGCTCATCCAACGGCATCCTCACCGAGAAGAAGGGCCAACTCACCAACGACTTTTTCGTCAACCTTCTCTCTCCCGCTTTCGTCTGGACCAAGAAGGACGACCGTGGTGAGCTCTGGACTGGTACTGACCGTGCCACCAAGTCCGCCAAGTGGACTGCTACCCGCGCTGATCTTGTCTTCGGATCTCACGCTGAGCTGCGTGCTATTTCTGAGGTTTATGGTAGTGCTGATGCGAAGGGGAAGTTTGTGAAGGATTTCATTTCTGCGTGGACCAAGGTTATGAACCTGGACCGTTTTGATGTCAAGACTGAGAAGGAGACCAAGCACTAGAGTTTTTTCAGTTATCTTTGACATTTTTTAGATTTATATTTTTTTTCATTATATCGTTCGTTTATAGATCTGTTCAAACTGCTTGAATCGAGAACAATGTGAATATGAAAATGCCTCGCCCTTTTACGACCCTGAAGGATCATGGACTATATGCACCTTAGCACGTGATAATGCAATCTCACCCTTAGCCGTCTCATCAACCCCGCAATATTCATCTGTCACCATTCCATTTTCACTCGTGACACGTCCTTGAACACGCAAAATGCTTCAACTGCTGAACCTCCCTGATGAGGTCCTCACTCAAATTTGCACCTTGATTTGCGATTCAGATCGCCTAGCCCTCTTCCAAGCCATATATGCCAACAAAAGACTGCACAGAATTGCCTCGCCGATTCTCGTCCGCCACTGGCCTTTTCATCCGAGGATTCTACATAAACAGGCACCTGCCCTCTTTGCACTCCACCTTAAAAGAAATGACAGATCAATAGTATTCGATGAACTGCTTCCCATCGCCGGCGATGATCCTTGGGTTAGTGCTGGAGAATCTTCGAGTCGTTGTGCTCAGATGGTACGACGAGGATGACCCTGGACATATGCAGTGTGCAGCACCTTTCTTTCACTTGCCCAACGTCAAGACCCTTTCTCTTTCAGCATTATCTGATGAGATATCGCTCAAGAGCATCACGGACGAGAAAGATCGCAATGGCGATGCTAAACTGGGGTTGGATCCTGATATCTACGAGACGCGAATCAGTCATTACTGAACAGATAGAAATAGGGCTCTAACCCAACTATCAGACAGAACAAGATGAAGAACATATAAATCACTCCAGCATTTGACAATTAAGAGTCTCATCGCCTCAGACCTTTTAGTTAATATCTTAAAAACCCCTCTTTCTTAATGGCAATGTTCAGTCCTCGAAAGGAAGGTGTCAAATATTGGGGTGAAAATCTGTGTTGTCCATTTTTTTCTGGTTGGGTTAGGACCCTATTTCTATCTGTTCAGTAATGACTCGTCTGAGGGGCTGTTACAGTGCTGAGACAGCTCTTCGACCGGTAGCTCGGTCCTCCGGCTAGCCGGTCTCAGTTTGTTGTCGTCAAGGATTTGTTTATTCGATGCAAGATATCTTACATACCCACAGGCCACTAATATTTATACGAATGCTATAACACCCAGTGCTAAGCCAACCAGCCCGGTACGAGCATTACTGCTTCTGTTGAGCCACGAGGCAGAGAAGCTTCCTGACTTAATCTAGCAAGAGGCCACGCTGGGGACGTTCTCGCAGCTGCCGTAAGTCTTACCACCGGTGACATTGACGTTGGACCAAGTCCAGTTAGAGCAGCCGGAGCTACCGCAGACGATGGCAATGTTGTATCCGCTGGAAGAAACAGCACCGGTACCAGTAATATCCTTGATGGTCAGACCGGTGATAGGGAGGCTGCTAGTAGGCTCGCCCTTGAGGTCGCCACCATAGTAGTTCTGCTCAACGATAACACCATACCTGTCATTAACGTTAGAACACTCTTCTTGCTCAGAGCTGAAGTGGCAGGGGTCGACTTACTTGGCAATGTTCGACAGGGTGATGCCAGAGTAGGTAACGCCGGCGACCTTGCCGGAACCACCCTTGACAGTCTTGACACGAATGCCTGGAATACGTGTCAGTTTGAAGGAACCTACGAAATGAGTTTTATATCATACCGTTGTCAGACTTGGTAACCTGGGAGTTCAAGAACTTGACGTTGTCGACGACGTTGTTGTCCCGGTTGCCAACACTTCCGATGGAGAGACCGTGGCCACCGGAGCAAAAGCCGCCACTGAAGGTGATGTCCTGTTTTATGTCGTTAGCATATTTTTTCTGGTAGCTGCCATTATGTCAACCTACGGTTCCAGAGTTGACAGCAACGCAGTCATCCTGGTTGTAAACCTTGGCGCCGGTAATGGTAACGCCTGTGCTGTCACCGATGTCAAAACCATCAGTGTTGTGGCCACCCTTGGAGTCACCGTCGGCGTTGTCGATGGTCATCTTGTCAATGTTGAGGCCGTTGACGCCGTTGATGCTGACAGCCTGAACAGGGGTGTTCTTGATGTAGAGGCTTTTGATGGTGGAGTTGGTTAACTTGTGAGCGGCGAAGAACTTGGGCTTGGTCTTGCCCTTGTCTCCTTTTCCATCCCACCAACGAGCACCGTCAGCATTAAGAATAGCGTCAGAGGCTCCCTCGACCGTGATCTTGTTTCCAGCGATGGAGAGAAGAGGGCCCTCCCACTCCTTGTAGTCCCAGGTGGTGGTACCCTGGAAGGTGACCTTTAATTGGTTAGTTTCAAGCAGTGCTAGGTCTGCTGGAATGTGTCAACGTACCTTAGCGCCGCTCTGCAGCTTGGTGAGGTCCAGGGTCGTTCCAGCGGGAACAGCCACGTTGTTAAGAATAAGATTGGTGCAGTTCGATTGCCCGGCCATAGCCTTGGAAGCATCGGAAAAGGTGCAGGGGTCCCACTTGTCGTTGTAGGTATGAACCTCAGGATACGAGGGAGCGGTCATGGCGGTGTTGGCCAAGGCGGTGAGGAAAAGAGCACTTCCGAACTTGAACATTTTGAGTTTTGAAGGAACTCTGTGGATGGATTGAAAGTATGTGGAAGAGAGAACGTGAATGAATGAATTGTAGTTCGTTGGTTGGCAAAAGTATAGCGTGCTATGATGTCTCCTCTCTTTATTATTTCAGGCTCTGCTACAAACTTATATAGCTCCCATCCAATTAGCATGCCAGTTCCAGTCCCGTTAGATCCGAATCCTGGTATGTTTCCACAAACATAGTGCTACTATGTCTTCCCTGTCTAAGCTGAGGGATAAAAGAGGAAAGAAAGCAAAAATTACACCCCTTTCGGGGCGTTACTTTTAGTGAACGCCCAGTGAATTCCCGGCCAGCCCTTGGCTGACCTGCCTGAGACCCCACTAATAAGACTTTAATTTCTCCGGGACATCCGTACGAGGTCTACTGGCCCGTTTACTATGCATCATCGGCTGTGGGCATTATACTTAGTGTAAGCTCTTTAAACTTTAACAAGGATTTCAGACTTTACTTACTACCATCTATACGTGAATCTGATCATAAAGTCTGTAGAGCGTATAGAGTGCGCTGACCCTTCATTTGTAATGGTTGTTGATCATCTGTCCTTATGAAGATATAGGATCGAACTTCGGGTCGGCTAGCTCCATCGATCCATAGTAGTTTTTGATGTCCTTTAGCACCCTGCCTTTCAGCTGATGCTCTTGGCGAAAGTGCGACTCGATGCCAGCTCCGGGTCGAACAGCTGTTTTGCAAAGTCGACAGAGTAGCATTTGGTGCTCCTGGTTTAATTGAACAATACTTTCCATTGCTACTGATTTTATCTGGCTGCTCTGTATAGTTAGATATGATGAAATAATAAATATCGTTCTGTTTACCTTTCTGTCACTGAGCTACTCCATATTGCGAAACCCTTACCCCAGATTGGCGCTAACTAACCCTAAGCTGGCGCTAGTTAACCCCAAGCACCAATCAGCGATCCGATATGAGCCAAAACGATAAAACATAAATCTGTTGACCCCGCAACCCATTTTCTCAGCCTATTTAACTTAAATGACCTGCGAATAACACCTAGGGTCAGCCGACGGAAACGCATCGCGTTTCGTGTTTTATGTTTTCTGATTTAATTAGTGCGGTACGAGAAACACAGTGCGTTTCTAGTGATAATTCTTGAGTAAGGAACCAAGGTCATCGAGGGCAGCGCAAAGATCTGTGGGTTTGTCCCTAGTGTCTGTTCTGTATTAGTATACAATGAGCAAACACTAGGGCAGAACAGCTTAGATAGTTAATACTGACTCTATTCTAACCCTGAGAAGGAAAACCGGCTAACGAAACAAGACCTTCCCTAGAGTTCTAAGCTACCATCACGTCCTAACAACTAAGATTTTAAAAATACAACAGAAAACTAGAAAGTGGTCCAATCCTCATAGGCCACAAAAGCATCATCCGTAGAAGCACGGACAAAGCATGCCTGCATAGTTTCGCTTGGGTTTAGAATTCCCCTCCAAAATAGGCCATTGACCGAATAGAGTGTATTGATAGTACCTTTCTTATTGCTTTGCAGCCAAGCCTTGCCAACACTCGTTCTCCTCTTTCTTGCATTCATGCCGTTGTAGAATTGTATGGAGATACTGAGTTTCTCATTTCCCTCTGGGATTGGCCGTAAATCTTTATTTGTCAGTCCAGGTCCACAAACAGTTTTACCTGTTTCTGAACTTGAAGTCGACCATGAATCCTCTCTGTCTTCATCGTTACTCTGACAGAATACATCTGTAGAAACGGCACCCCAAATGTTGGTATAGCTTTCTTCTCCGCAGGTCTCTGTCGTGCTACACCGGTCGTCCTCTTCTTTAAGCTGACCATTATTTGGGATATGCTGGCGGCATGTAACATGAAAATCCTTATCGTTGCTGCAAGATGCTCTGGATAGCTTCCATTCTTGAGTGATGCTTCTGCCAGCACGTACATCGTGGTCTGCGCAGATTGACTGACCCAGGTTACGGCGAGTCACAGGCAAAGCCCGAGGACTTAATTCTTTGGTAGTTGTTGCATTGGGGTGAAGGATATCGACTCCTTTAAGGGATTTATCCAGAATAATCTCAGCTCTTGTGCAAGCAATAAATATGCAAGCAATAAGCATAAGTAGTGTAGGAGACTTGGCCATAGCGATCTAAGGATATTTGCTTAAGAATACGAGGTAGAAGTGGCGATAAAGAGTGAGAGTAGAATAATAACAGAGGATATGTGTACCAGATAAGGAGCAGGTTATATGTATTTATATTAACTAGTTAGTAACTACTACTTGTAATATATCAGTGCTGTTATAGTTAAAATTATGATTGACATTATAAATAGCTACTCTTAGCTGTATTACGTGGCCTTTAGGATATTAGATGAATTTAAACTCTGTCTCTATGTACTACATAGACCTCGGCACTTGAACTGGTGTTATTATCTAAAAGCGGGCAGAGCTATGTAGGGGCCTTATGTCACAGAACAGGCTTAGCGGCCAACTGCAATGCCTGCCCTTACTTACACGAGGTTTTAGCTGATATTTAAGAGCGGCTATGTAGGTAGTACATATCTTGAGATTTGTTGTTTTGAACTTTAAAACTACTAACGTCCGTCACCCAAAGACTGGCCACCCCCACAGACCGGCCACCTCACTTTTAACCCAGCCACCCAATTTATATATACTTTAAACAGTCACAACTCTACCAATTTAATTCCAATTAATTTCAAACTAACGCCAATCAATTCAGAATGCCTTCTTTTACTGAAAAAGATATGAGCGCCGCTCTCCAGATGGTTGCAGAGGGTATGTCAGTGAATAAAGCAGCCGAAGCTAAT